GAATGTAATTGCTAATACATGAGGAGAAATATACTCTACTGACTGATGTTATACTGAGCTAATATTGCATCAGAGCAACTCTTGCCATCTCAGTAACCAATCAGGTGGCATTCACGTGTCGACACTCCTGTATTACTTCTAACACCTTTCTCATGACAAGGCCTATCTTAACATTGCCGGGCTCAAGGGAAATAATGTGAGTTCTCTCTGATACTCGAGATCACTTAATCAAGTTCAAGTTTTATTGAGATAATAAAAGACATCTCTAAAGGGTAGAGTAGCTGAGGTTATTTCTACCCTCAACTATTTAAAAAGGCATATAGTACACAAATCTATTCAGTACACAAATATTAGTCATATTTTACTCTTCACACTCCAATAGTTATCACATTGAAATATAGTCAAATCATTATAATGTAATGAAATATAAAATCATTAATTAAAAAAACATTAATTATTCATTAATCCTAATCACATTAATCATATTGAAAACGACATAGTAACAAAAGCTAGGGACCAATAAAAAGCTTTTTTATTGCCATATACAGAGAAAAACAACAATCAGGGACCACGGTTTGGGCTAAAGAGACCAGGAGGGGAGGATGGGGGGGGGAGGAGGAAGTCATACGGAAAATGATAAGGAGATGTGTGAAGAACTAAACAAAAGATTCCTGGTCTTTATAATGGAACCACTGTGGAGACTAGAGTTGAGTGATGAAAGGCCAGAGGAAACACTGGATGACACAGTAGTCACAGTTTAAGAGGTTAAAAAACACCTGAAGGAACTAGGTCTAACCAAATCAATTGTGCCACACTTAATATTACTATGGCCACTGGAGGAGGCTGCAGAGGTACTGTGTCACTCACTAAGTTTTTAATAAAACACTCGAAACAGGAATTCTTCAATAATTATGAAAAAAAAGTCAAATGTAGTCCCAATATTCAAGAAAGGGGACAGAAAGAAGGCACTAAATTACAGACCTTTGTCACCGACAATTATTCCTTGCAAATTGCTAGAGAGAGTAATCAGGTCGAGAATAGTAGAACATCTAAAGAAAGAGGATAAACTTAATAAAATACAAGTTAATAAAATTAAAAGTTTATAAAATAAACTTTACTCACCAAGCTGTACTCATTTAGCTGTACTCACCTAGGAAAACTCATCTAGTTGTACTCATCATGTATAACTCAAGTAGTTGTATTCACCTAGCTGTACTCACCTTGCTGGACCTGCCTCCCTGTGCTCATGTATTTGTACTCACCCAATTGTAATTACTTAATTAGTTGTACTCACTTAGCTGTACTTGTCTAGTTGCACTCGCCAAGCTGTACTCATTTAGTTGTACTCACTTAGATGTTCTCACCTAGCTATTTTAATCAAGCTACATTAACCTTGATGTAATAACCTAGTTGAACTCGCCTTATATTTACCTTGCTGTACCACCCTAGCTGTAAGCACGTAATTGTACTGTCCTAGTTGTGCTCATCTAGTTGTAGTCAACTAACTGTTAACTAGCTACTCGTACTTAACCAAGATGTGCTCACCTACTTGTTCTTACCAAGCTATGTACTCATCTAGTTTTACTCAACTAGGCGTACTCACCCTGATAGTGCTCACCTACCTGTACTCATCCTGAAGTACTCACCTAATTGTAATAATCTCGTTGTATTCTCCTTGTACTTATCTAGTAGTACTCACCTACTTTTATTCACCTAACAGTGCTCGAGTTGTACTAACCTACACGTACTCCCTCTAGTTATACTCGTATAGTTGTATTCACCTAGTTGTACTTCCCTAGTTACACTCATGTAGTTGTACTAAACTAGTTGTACTCACCTACTTGTACTCCCTCTATTTGCAGTAATGTAGTTGTACTCACCCCATATGTTCTTAATGTAAAATCTGCTATAATATAGATGTATATATAATAAAGATATTTTGATAAACTTAAAATTGTGAATTCCAATAAAAATGTTAGAATCAATGTTGTGTGTCCTTCATACATCTACGACACCAAATTTCCCATTTATGTTATAGTATTTTACATGAAGTATGTTACGGCCCTACTGGGTCGCAACCAGGTTCTTTTCTGGTGTTATTAGAATTCGGGAATCCGGCCCCAAGTTAGTAGTGGCTTTCAAGGGGTGTGTTCCGTAACGCAAGTTAAATTAAAGGGGAAGGGATACAAATGCACTGCTTTATATATATAATCACCACCACCATAAATAAATATATAAACTATCACATGAGGGGTATAAATACACAATGTACAGAATCGTCTTCCTCTGAAGACACAGGATGCTCCACGGTGCTCACGATGAGTAGCCCTGGTTCCTTTCTTCGTGGCCCACGATGAATCCTCTGGGCTTCTCTTGGCGAATCTACCCTGGCCACAGGCCTGACAAATCACAGTCCCACTGGGTGCTCCGTCGTGGAGGCCTTCAACCACAATCCAGCCTGTAGCTGCCAGGTTCCGATCAGCTCCGCTGTGTAGGCCACTCCACGACCAATACTAGGGTTGCGAGCCCTAGGCAGGAGCCTCGTGTGATTCCGCTGATCACTCTCCTCTCTCAGTACCACAGTGGCTAGTCTCCTCCACCAGCCAGCCCCAGATACAACGATTCCTCGACTCTGCCACGTCACAGGCAGGCTAACACTCTCAACAGTGGTCGTCCGGGGGTGACTCACAGCTTCTTCAGAGCAAACTCATGGAGAGACTTTGGCTGCCTTGGGTACACTGATCCATCGTCCTTTACAGCAGTCCCAGGTCGACTCTGTAATCAGACACGTCATTAGCACTGGGACTAGGGAACCTCACTTACGGGCTTAGACACAAACGTCCACCTATCTACTCCATAGATGGCGTTGCTGTCTAAGCACCACCTCACCAGAGGTCAGCAGCGGCTATGTTACGAGCTGATTAAGATGGGAAACCAGCCCCTGTGGCCAGTATATCCCGTCCTCGCTAGATGGCGTCGTCCATTTGGAGGGGGTTTCGGGAGCCGACTCACAGATGGCGTTGTCGTCACTGCTCCGTGCTACGACGCTAGACTCGGGTCCGTAACAAAGTACATAAATATAATTTATAAACAAATTTTAATCATGAAAACAGTATTATTTACTATATTAGTTAGCAAATACTGTTATAACTTTCTTTTTAGCAAAATCATATTAACAAATTAAATAAACAGTTAGACTAAATAAATGTTTTACACACTTTTTATACAACTCAGACACAGCAATTATAATTATTATTAATGTAAGTTATAAAATGACATAAAAACTTAATAAATGAACATGAAAAAATACTTTTTAAATATAAGGGAACAAATAGTGTTGCATAATCCAATATTAGCTATATCGCAAAAAAATTATAATCCAATCTTCGAGTAACTAAAAGCTTTAAGAATGTTTCATACAGCTATCCAACGAAATTAAAAATTTATATATGTAATGTATGTGAATTTATTATTTATATATGGATTTTTTTTAATATATAGGACAAATTACTGTTAGGAAATTTGTCAAATTACATAAAAAAAATCATTCACCATTCGTGGGTTAAACGCTGCTCACGGACCTGTTGAAACATAATTGCAACTTTTCTTTCCCACAATCCTATGGAAACGTTAGTGAAGGTTGCAACAACGTTTTGTGATTGCTGTGTACTGAGGCGGGCAGGTCACTCTCACACCACTACTGAGGCAGGCAGGTCACTCACACATCACTACTGAGGCGAGCAGGTCACTCTCACACCACTACTGAGGCAGGTAGGTCACTCTCACACCACTACTGAGGCAGGCAGGTCACTCTCACACCACTACTGAGGCGGGCAGGTCACTCTCACACCACTACTGAGGCGGGCAGGTCACTCTCACACCACTACTGAGGCGAGCAGGTCACCCACACACCACTACTGAGGCGGGCAGGTCACTCTCACACCACTACTGAGGCGGGCAGGTCACTCTCACACCACTACTGAGGCGGGCAGGTCACTCTCACACCACTACTGAGGCGGGCAGGTCACTCTCACACCACTACTGAGGCGGGCAGGTCACTCTCACATCACTACTGAGGCGGGCAGGTCACTCTCACACCACTACTGAGGCGGGCAGGTCACTCTCACACCACTACTGAGGCAGGCAGGTCACTCTCACACCACTACTGAGGCGGGCAGGTCACTCTCACACCACTACTGAGGCGGGCAGGTCACTCTCACACCACTACTGAGGCTGGCAGGTCACTCTCACACCACTACTGAGGCAGGCAGGTCACTCTCACACCACTACTGAGGCAGGCAGGTCACTCTCACACCACTACTGAGGCAGGCAGGTCACTCTCACACCACTACTGAGGCGGGCAGGTCACTCTCACACCACTACTGAGGCGGGCAGGTCACTCTCACACCACTACTGAGGCGGGCAGGTCACTCTCACACCACTACTGAGGCGGGCAGGTCACTCTCACACCACTACTGAGGCAGGCAGGTCACTCTCACACCACTACTGAGGCGGGCAGGTCACTCTCACACCACTACTGAGGCGGGCAGGTCACTCTCACACCACTACTGAGGCGGGCAGGTCACTCACACACCACTACTGAGGCGGGCAGGTCACTCTCACACCACTACTGAGGCAGGCAGGTCACTCTCACACCACTACTGAGGCGGGCAGGTCACTCTCACACCACTACTGAGGCGGGCAGGTCACTCTCACACCACTACTGAGGCGGGCAGGTCACTCTCACACCACTACTGAGGCGGGCAGGTCACTCTCACACCACTACTGAGGCGGGCAGGTCACTCTCACACCACTACTGAGGCGGGCAGGTCACTCTAAGACGGGCACACCACTACTGAGGCGGGCAGGTCACTCTCACACCACTACTGAGGCGGGCAGGTCACTCTCACACCACTACTGAGGCAGGCAGGTCACTCTCACACCACTACTGAGGCGGGCAGGTCACTCCCACATAACGTCTACCATGTTGACGTCAACAGCTGCGGCAGGTGTCGTGGTGCGTGACGGTGGTGGTGGTGAGCGACGACCTCGCCTTCCTCGCCGCCTTCGCCCAGTGGTCCCTCAAGGGCCGCTTGGTGGGTCCAGCGACCAGGCTCCTCGCTGTCACCAACGCTTCCTTGGTCAATAATCCAGACCTCAGCAGGACCTACTCCATGATGAACGCCATGATGCTGGTTGTAGAAGATTTCCAGAAGTAAGAAACATAAACAGTTATTTTACACTCCACTCCATGACATCACTCCACTTGTACCTGTCTGGGTAGTTCCTATTGGCATTAAGGAACATTCCTATGTTCGTTTCCTTAGTGTATACTGCAGTGTGGAAACCTCCATTCCTTTCTGTGACTGTTACATCCAGAAAAGGGCAGCTTCCCATCACTCTCCATCTCGTAAGTGAAACTTAACTCCGAATTTTGTTCGAATGCCTTCTTCCTGTTTGCGAATTTCTTTATGGGTTCCATAGAGCAGAGGGTCCTAATTGACGTGGACTTAAAACCTGCCATATAATGCAGGTACGTTGACGACATATTTATGTAGGTACCTGATGTCAGACGTTTGCAGCAGCTGAAGGAGGCATTCGAGCAAAATTAGGTGTTAAATTTTACTTATGAGATGGAGTGATGGGATGCTGCCCTTTCTAGATGTAATAGTCGCAGAAAGGAATGGAACTTAATATATTTTTTAATAGAAAAATAGATACATCTAGAAAGCTGCCTTTTCTAGATGTATCAGTTACAGAAAGGAATGGAACTTCACTGACCTGTACTAAAAGAGGCACCCTACAACGACGGAATCAAATGATGTACCACCCTTCACCACTTCGTCTTCTGATCTAAGAGATCACTTTTATGATGATGCCTAGCGCTTATTCTTGACTCAGACTTTGCATTTCAATATTAAATTGAAATTGAATATATATATATATATATATATATATATATATATATATATATATATATATATATATATATATATATATATATATATATATATATATATATATATATATATATATATATATATCACTCCTGATGTAAAGTTAATCAGTTTTGACGTTTGTTCTTTGTTTACAAAGGTACCGGTTGATAATATTCTTGATTATCTAGCTCGTGAACTAATGAATCATGTTTTACCTCTTTTTGCTGATAGTAGTGTCAATCTTGTTAAGTTGTGCATTAAAGAAAGTGAATTTACCTTTAATAATGAGTATTATTTACAGACTTTTGGAATGGCAATGGGGAATCCTTTATCGCCATTGCTTTCAAGCTTGTACATGGAATTCTTCGAAAAGAAATTTATTTAAAAAATTACCACTGGAATCATTCCATGGTTTAGATATGTTAATGATATTTGGTGTATATGGCCTTCGGATGTAAACACAGACGAATTTGTAGCCAAACTTAATGATTAAGTCACCTCTATAAAATTTACTATGGAGACTGAAATTGATAAATGTTTGCCATTCCTAGATGTACTTATTCATAGGGAAGATTTTTCACTAAAGTTTAGTGTCTACAGAAAACCTACGAATAATTTATCTTACGTTCGTTATTTTTCAGGGCATAGATACAATGTGAAAAAATCAATGTTGATTTAGACTCCTATGAAGAGTCAACTAACACAATACCTGTACCCCCTATAAGACTATTTTACAGGAACATCTTTTCCACAGCTCATAATTCGGAGGAAAGGGTCCTAAGATATTGTTAATAGGAACGTTATCCCTACAGACAAAAATCAGAAGATACAATTGACCAGTTACTATAAAACCAAAAAAAACGGCCAACCTACTCATGAAAAACTCTCCAGACACAAAGCAGAATGCCTTAGAAGAGACCAACGTCGTCTATGCCTTCAAATGTCCACTTGGGTACTGTAAGCCCCAAAGAACTCAGTATACAGGCAAGACAACAACATCTCTTTCCAGGCGATTAACAATGCATAAGCAACAGGGCTCCATTAAGGAACATGTAATCTCTTCTCACAACCAAACCATCACCAGAGAAATCTTAGCAAACTACACAGAAATCATCGATAGATACAGCGATAGCAGGCGGCTTGACATCTGCGAGGCACTACACATCAAGAAGTCAACACCAGCAATCAACAGCCAATTAATGCACAACTATATTCTACCCACTTCAAGACTCCGCTACAATATAGAAGCATCAAGAAATATGGGCCAATAGGCCCTCTGCAATTACTTCAATTCTTACCTTCAATACCCATTGTTTCGTGTTCTGTCCTGTGTTGAAAGTTTTGTTCACCTCATCCAAAACTGTTGTAACATATCACCTCACCCAAAATGCGGGTATATAATAAAAAATGAAAGCTGTTTAAATCATAGCATAGTAAGAACTCTGTTTAGTGTTTGCAGGTAATAGTTGTGTGTGTGTAAACTAAAAGTCTTTGAAAATGTAATAAGTTATTACAAAACGCGTTCAAGTGTCGCGTCAGACTAGAAATAAAAATGAATTTTGGAGAATTGATTTTTCAATTACCATCAACAGTGAAAAGAAACAAAAGAAAGATCGAGAAAATTCGTGTTAGAATTATTAATCTTACTTTTTCGGTCATATATAATAATATATGTCTAATATGTCTAGAGGAAAGACTGCTACCAAAATATACTATATATATATATATATATATATATATATATATATATATATATATATATATATATATATATATATATATATATATATATATATATATATATATATATATTAGTATATTTTGGTAGCAGTCTTTCCTGTAGACATATATTATTAAATATGACCGAAAAAGTAAGATTAATAATTCTAACACGAATTTTCTCAATCTTTCGTACATTATGCTTCACTGTTGGAGGTAAATCAAAAATCACTTCTCCAAAATTCATTTTTATTTCTAGTCTGACGCGACACGGGCGCGTTTCGTAAAACTTATTACATTTTCAAAGACTTCACAAATACACAACTGATTAGAACTTGCGTTTCCCTGATTTTATATCTACATTTGAGTGAGGTGGGAAGGGTGATGTGGCATTACATTTGAGTGAGGTGGGAAGGATGATGTGGCATTAACACAAGACAGAACACTAGAGGATATTAATAGGGTATTAAAAGTATCAACACAAGACAGAACAGAAACAATGGGTATTGAATAGAAGTGTTTGTAGAAAGCCTATTGGTCCATATTTCTTGATGCTTCTATATTGGAGCGGAGTCTTGAGGTGGGTAGAATATAGTTGTGCAATAATTGGCTGTTGATTGCTGGTGTTGACTTCTTGATGTGTAGTGCCTCGCAAACGTCAAGCCGCCTGCTATCGCTGTATCTATCGATGATTTCTGTGTTGTTTACTAGGATTTCTCTGGCGATGGTTTGGTTATGGGAAGAGATTATATGTTCCTTAATGGAGCCCTGTTGTTTATGCATCGTTAAACGCCTAGAAAGAGATGTTGTTGTCTTGCCTATATACTGGGTTTTTTGGAGCTTACAGTCCCCAAGTGGGCATTTGAAGGCATAGACGACGTTAGTCTCTTTTAAAGCGTTCTGTTTCGTGTCTGGAGAGTTTCTCATGAGTAGGCTGGCCGTTTTTCTGGTTTTATAGTAAATCGTCAGTTGTATCCTCTGATTTTTGTCTGTAGGGATAACGTTTCTATTAACAATATCTTTCAGGACCCTTTCCTCTGTTTTATGAGCTGTGGAAAAGAAGTTCCTGTAAAATAGTCTAATAGGGGTATAGGTGTTGTGTTAGTTGTCTCTTCGGAGGTTGCATGGCTTTTCACTTTCCTTCTTATGATGTCTTCGATGAAACCATTGGAGAAGCCGTTATTGACTTGTCAATATTTTCTCTTCGGAGACTAGATGGGGTCGCCATGGGTTCTCCCCTAGGTGTCCTGTTTGCAAACTTCTACATGGGTACCATCGAGCAAAAAGTCTTAGTCGACATGAACTTGAAACCGGCCATATACTGCAGGTATGTTGACGACATTTTTACACAGGTACCTGATGTCAGACATCTGCAGGAGCTGAAGGAGGCATTTGAGCAGAGTTCCGTGCTGCGTTTCACTTACGAGACGGAAAAGGATGGGAAGCTGCCTTTTCTAGATGTAACAGTCATGGAAAAGGGCGGAGGTTTCCACACTGCAGTCTACACAAAGGAAACAAACATAGGAATGTGCCTAAATGCCAACAGCGACTGCCCTGACAGGTACAAGAGGAGTGTTGTTAACGCATACGTCGACCGTGCTCTCAGCCACAGCTCAGAATGGAAGCAAGTCGACGAAGAACTCTGTAGGGTAAGGCAGGTTCTAGTCAATAACGGCTTCTCCAATGGTTTCATCGAAGACATCATAAGAAGGAAAGTGAAAAGCCATGCAACCTCCGAAGAGACAACTAACACAACACCTATACCCCCTATTAGACTATTTTACAGGAACTTCTTTTCCACAGCTCATAAAACAGAGGAAAGGGTCCTGAAAGATATTGTTAATAGAAACGTTATCCCTACAGACAAAAATCAGAGGATACAACTGACGATTTACTATAAAACCAGAAAAACGGCCAGCCTACTCATGAGAAACTCTCCAGACACGAAACAGAACGCTTTAAAAGAGACTAACGTCGTCTATGCCTTCAAATGCCCACTTGGGGACTGTAAGCTCCAAAAAACCCAGTATATAGGCAAGACAACAACATCTCTTTCTAGGCGTTTAACGATGCATAAACAACAGGGCTCCATTAAGGAACATATAATCTCTTCCCATAACCAAACCATCGCCAGAGAAATCCTAGTAAACAACACAGAAATCATCGATAGATACAGCGATAGCAGGCGGCTTGACGTTTGCGAGGCACTACACATCAAGAAGTCAACACCAGCAATCAACAGCCAATTATTGCACAACTATATTCTACCCACCTCAAGACTCCGCTCCAATATAGAAGCATCAAGAAATATGGACCAATAGGCTTTCTACAAACACTTCTATTCAATACCCATTGTTTCTGTTCTGTCTTGTGTTGATACTTTTAATACCCTATTAATATCCTCTAGTGTTCTGTCTTGTGTTAATGCCACATCATCCTTCCCACCTCACTCAAATGTAATGCCACATCACCCTTCCCACCTCACTCAAATGTAGATATAAAATCAGGGAAACGCAAGTTCTAATCAGTTGTGTATTTGTGAAGTCTTTGAAAATGT